ATTTGTTGTTTTTTATAGTGTAATAGGGAAACATGATAGTTTATTTAAAAATGTTGATTCATTAGTTTTTTCTAGTTTTATATATCTTAAACTATATACTCAAGTTTATTTTTTTTTAAACTATGTACATTTGTATCACTGAGTGTTATTTTCAAAATTTAATCGCCCAACCAAAATGTGTTAATATTTTTTACACCCCAGTGCTTTTGAATCTGTTAGGTATATAAAAGAGCGCTAAACCAAGAATACATCTCGTTATGCCACCGACATTGTATACAACCTCAGCCTTCTTATCACCGGTGCTGTGTAATATTTTCACCAGCGAGATAAGCCGTTCTATTGTCAAGCTGCCCAAAATGACAAAAGGCAAAAAGAGAAGAAAAAAAGACGCGTTACCAACGTCAATGATGAGAAGCCTAAGTGGATATGTTTTTTTTTCCACTTTTATTGTTATTATTAGTTTACACATTTTTGTGGTTTCCAATGGTGACGTGAAAACACGGACACACAAAAGAGACACGGGGAAACACAAGTTTAACTCGAGGCAGGGAATTACTACAAAGATGGTTGTCGACGGATTAAATTGAGTTTGTCCGTTGACACCGCAACATCGGAAGAATGATGACATTTCAACATTGTTTTCTTCGGACGCTCCGAAAAATGACGAGAATAATTCGGTAAGAAAAATCGCTTATTGCCGTTAGACCAGATGGGGTCTCCTACCCGAATAACAAATTATAATTGTTATTTGTCCCAGTTGAATGATTGTCTGTCCGATTTGTCGGTTCGAACATTAAATTTAAAAAATCTCAACAAATATAATAATATCGATTATCGTCTACTAAAAGAGCTGTATAAGARCATCTATGATTCAATTTGAAATTTAAAAAAAAAATCCGAACACTAAGCCAGAGTATAATTGATTTCATTCAATTGTTTTWTAACAAAATTATTTAAGTTAATAAAACTTAATTGTAAATTCCGAAAATACCTTCAATAAATCCTGATAGAACTATGACTATTGCCCTACAATAGGTCTAATATAAAAAAATGCATTTATTTATTTACAGTTATAGTTTATTAAATGAAACTTGATCATATACAAAACCATCAAAATGAAAATTAATCTAAACAAACAAAAAGGTTCTTCAATATACATTAGAGCTTATTTCACATAATCTGTATTTAAATGTATAACATTTATTTTAAGTAGGTACTTATATTTTAAATAAAAAGACATAATTATAAATAAATTATAATAGTTAAAATACATGTGGTCATGCCCGAATTTAAAGAATATAACATAAATATTATATATAATAATTATTCTATAAAAAATCTTAAAAATATTTACCATTAAAAAAAAAAAAACTGTGTAGGTACCTTTTTTTAACACAAGATTAGGTTATGTTAAGTATAACCTGTATCAAGATATCATTCAACAGAGATACTGTAGGTGCAACATTTTCAGAATTTCGTTATTAACCTGGAAGGCAAAACGTATTACTGGAGTATACTCGGAACGTCGAATAAATCATAATTTACCGTTTTTTCCTCTATTGTAACTGAGATATTTTTACCATAAATATTACCAAACTGTTATTTAAGTAACAAAGGTACATAATAATAAATTATTGAATCAAGCTTATTAAAATTATTTAAAAATGTATTTTTTCATTCTTTTATTTAAAATCTACAATGTTTTATTAGTTGGATATATATATATATATGTATACGAGTATTCATACATATTTATGCATGTAAAAAAAAATGTTTTGTTATTTATCTGAAAACACAAAACAATTAGTTGTTTGTGTTGCTGTTAAAACATTTAAATTGTATTTAATTTATTTTATAAGAAACATTGTTCAAACAAACCACCTGTAAATATTTATCAATGGAGCTAGGGAATTCCGTAATTAACTTAGATTTTACACAAACATGTGCAATATAACACCATTGTCAGTTTTACCATAACAAATATTGGCAAWGTTTTGTATAATATTAGGTATTTCTACAACGTCTCGAAATAATTAATAATCTAAAAATAATGAGAAATTTTTGTTATTATTTAACCAACCAACGCTCATTTTAATATTTTTCATTCTTCATTATTAACGGAACCCAAGATAAAAATTTTTCTGGAATACTGATTAATGGTGATTACCGCTCACATTTATTACATCTCCAATCACAATAATCATAATAAAATAATTTATTAAAAATAAGAAACAATAAAAAAATGATGAGATTCTATAAAATGTTTTATTGTTTTATTATTGTCTATTGAATTACTGTATTTTAAAATAATTATCAAAATTTCATTCGATATTGTACTATACCTACATACTTTCTTGATCTCTTAATATCTAATATATTGAATGTTATTAAATATTTAAAACCTCAATGGTGCATTATTCATATGCTTATGTGTTTACAACCTGCGAACATTTTGAAATTGTGCGGCCAACTTCAGGGACCTCCAAATCTGAACACATATCGATGAAGTGATAATTGAAACTCATCTTGGATACAAACATCAAAATCATACAAAACATATAACCTAATTTTACTTGACAAAAAAAAATTTTCACATTACAATACATTTCACGTCTTATGTTTGAAAGTACTCGTTATACATAGACTTGATGTGGGATACACACACTACTGTAAAAATAAATATCTATCGATCGACATCCTTAAGAGGACGCTACACCCGCATAATATGTTGTCTCCGTCTTTCAAGTGCGTAACATAGCAAATCACGTTTAGCTCCATTAGTTTAAAATTTAGAGTTAATTGACCTCTTTCATAAATTAAAGGTAACATTATTATTGAGGGCATCTCGTAGGCTTTTTATTATATTTTAATTTTAAAGTGAGTTATGTGTATTTTAAAATTGTAAATTGTTTGTATATCTTAAAATACTCATAACTCACTTTAAAATTAAAATATAATAAAAAGCCTACGAGATGTCCTCAATAATAATGTTACCTTTAATTTTTGTAACAGGTCAATTTACTGTAAATATTAAACTAATGGAGCTAAACGTGATCTGATGAGCATAAAATTTGCTACGTTACACGTTTGTAAGACGAAGACAACATATGCAGGTGTAGCGTCCACTTAAAAGTTGTTATTTATTATTATCGGAGATCGTGAAAAAATGTATTAACGTTGCAATTTAATTCGCCTGTCGTTCTACCGTCATCGGTGATGTACCTACTAACCCATGGTACGAGGAAATCACATATCTCTGCTAAATGCTGATAAATATTTTATACAATAATATTATGTTATATCCTCAATATTATTATCATTATTATTATTATTATTATTATTATTATTATTATTATTACTCGAATTCGACACTATAACACGTTACATTGTATGACTATAGGAGTTTTTTTTTTTTATTATATTATGTAATTTTATCAATTCGCACGGATTATAAAGCATAATAATATAATATTCGAACGGGCACCATACCTTGAAACGTCCATGGTGTGATATCCGCGCGACTTGGACCACGTGACGGGTTAAAGATTCGATCAGCGGAGCGCATTGCCGACTAGTGCACAATCACGACGGCCGGGCGTCACTGCGGGCGGTTATGTGCAACGTGCCGCGGTAGCCATGTGACGACGACGGCGGGCGCGAGCGCCGCCTACACGTAAACACGCCCTCGCGCCGATCAACCACCTCCTCGCGATTAGGTAGATGGTTACACGGCGGTTGCGACCTAAGACRAGGCCTACAATTCTAGGAAAAACCCATTTGCTTTTTGATTATTTACTATTTTTTAACATTCTTCGAATTTTTTTCGGTTATGCGTGTCATTCCATAATATTATATGGCAGTAGATCAGAACGATCAGAACGGCCTGCAAACACAATCAACATATTATTTTTAAACGACAAATATATATAATTATGACTCATAGTAAGTTTTTTAAATACACGTGCATGCCAAAACGTGTTGTTCAGACAAGTTTAACTCTTATAAATATTAATATTCTACTACTCATAATATTACAATAGAATTACGTACACTGCAGTTCTTACATCAATAAAATCTGTACTGCCATTGAATTACATTATACCTACGTTGTAACAATCATCTAAAATTTAAAATATTCATCAAACGCGTCGCACATTATAACGACTGTGGCGTGAACGTCGAACAAATTAAATGATTTTCTCACCCAGCTGTTTCACATCACCTAATCTTACACATATAACTATCAGTTAAGTCGTAGCRTCCGAAATCAGGAGATGCTCTAATTACTTGTGAAAAACATGAATATTTTTAACCAAAAAACTTAGTTTACTAAATCATAATACTTTGGTTAAGTAAATCTAAATAATCTTATCGCATTTAAAATTAATTTGATATGTACATTAAACATCATAATAGTATAATGTATTATGACAATATTCGGATATATGGAAAACCGAATAATTAAGAAACTATAAATACTAAATCGTGCCTATGCATAGATTATCCCTATGTAAACAATTACAGTTACCTAATTATTAAATATATAGCTGCGTCCACTCCTAACAAACGTTTGGGGAAACATTGTTTGTCAAACATATGTCGAACGTTTGAAAAACATTTGTCGAACGTTTGTCAAACATTTTATTAATGACAACAAACGTTTGTTTATAATTTGATGTTCGCTATATGTTTGCCAACAGTCGCGACCATATCAGATATAGAACAAGTCGCATGCTGCATTGGCGCTGCTGCGTTTGTTATAATGCGTAATAAATATCAAAAAAAWAAWAATAATAATAAAAAAAGAAGGTGGTGGGAAAGACAACTTTTTCAGAGAAGAAAGACTTACAGTGGTGAGAATTTCATTTTAGATTTACATGAAAGTGATTTATTTAGTAATTTTACCAGAATGTCAAGTATTGATTTCGAATTTTTAATTAATTTAATTGGCCCAAAAGTCACAAWAGAAAACACTAATTTTCGTGAAAATATTTCTGTGGCAGTGCGTTTAGCAATAACTTTACGATTTTTATCAAGTGGTGATTCATATCATTCTCTAATGTATACGTTCAAAATATCAAAGCAGTCAATATCACAGATTGTACCTGAAGTATGCGAAGCATTAATAACT